TGGCTTCTGTCTGGCCACTCTACCATAAAGGCCTGATTGTTGGAGTGCTGCACAGATGGTTGTCCATCTAGAAGGTTCTCCCATCTCCACAGAGGAACTCTTGAGCTCTGTCAGAGTGACCATCTGGTTCTTGGTCACCTCCCTGACCAAGGACTTCTCCCCCGATTGCTCAGTTTGGCCGGGCGGCCAGCTCTAGGAAGAGTCTTGGTGGTTCCAAACTTCTTCCATTTAAGAATGATGGAGGCCACTGTGTTCTTGGGGACCTTCAATGCTGCAGACATTTTTTGATACCCTTCCCCAGATCTGTGCCTTGACACAATCCTGTCTCGGAGCTCTGAGGACAATTCCTCCGACCTCATGGCTTGGTTTTTGCTCTGACATGTACTGGTCAACTGTGGGACCTTATATAGACAGGTGTGTGCCTTTCCAAATCATGTCCAATCAATTGAATTTATCACAGGTGGACTCCAATCAAGTTGTAGAAAGATCTCAAGGATGATCAATGGAAACAGGATGCGCCTGAGCTCAATTTCAAATCTCAAAGCAAAGGGTCTGAATACTTATGTAAATAAGGTATTTCTGTTTTTAATTTTTTATAAATGTGCAACATTTTCTAAAAACCTGTTTTCGCTTTGTCATTATGGGGTATTGTGTATAGATTGACGAGGACATTTTTATTATTTAATCCATTTTAGAATAATGCTGTAACTTAACAAAATGTGGAAAAAAGTCCAGGGGTCTGAATACTTTCCGAATGCACTGTATCTGTAGACATACCTCTGCCAGACCTCAATTTCTGTGATCTCCACCCCAAATGAATAGCTGGCTGGCACATGCGTTTCCTCATGCTTAAGTTCAAGGTCAGAATGCAGAGAGAAAAGTGTGTGAAAAATAAATTAAGTTCCATTTATGCCATTTATTTCAAATCACCAACGTTTCGGCCTTCACCACGGCCCTCCAGCATGTGAAAGCCAGTCTTGTATGTGTCGGCTACACTACAGCATAGGACCACAGTAGGTCCTCTTATCAGTGGCCTGTGTATTATTATAGAACCTTATAGAACTGTACATTCAGTGATAACTCGCAGTCACAATCATTTGTTAAATAGTGCTAAACCCAATGACATGTTACAGTGACTCAGTTAAGCAGTCCATGGAAAGAGATGGAGAATCGAAGTAAGCAAGCAAATAAAACACACACACACACACACACACAAAGCCCCCGCCGCCTTGCCACCCAATTATTTTCCAAACCACGTTACCATCCATCGGTTAGCCCTTTATAAAGTGGTTGGCCCAATCTTCTAAATTCTCCAGGCTTTTTCAGCGAGCAGCAGCCACAGATGACTAATGGACACAGGGGCCAGTAATGCATGTCATTTGCAGAGACTGCATGTTGAGCGGGAGAGAGAGGGGAAGCAGCTTGGAGATCCTAATGTTACCTTTTAGTGGCAATTTCAAGATGTTTTCCCACCAGGAGTGGCACTCAAACTCTCCCCCCGGGACCCTCGCCACCGTGACAACTCTTACAGGAAACCGTGACAACTTACAGGAAACAGGCCCAGAGAACTTGGGAAATAAATTAAAATAAAATAATTAAAATCTTTCAAATACTTTTAAGCGTTTGCGCTCGCCTTCCTGCCTGCCTTTTGGGAATACTCTATTGGTCCATTATTCAGCCAGGCAAGCTCAATCAAGCACAAATAAAGTATTTTAAATGATTTCAAATAGTATTTGTACCCAGGTTAGGTACAGAGCTGCCATTCCTTTGGTTGGTTTTCTTTCGCCCTCTCTCCCCCTTTCTTTCTCTCCCTCTGTGCTGATGTGTTTTGTAATTGAGGAGATCAGTCAGTGGAGGCCTTTTGGGGGCTGCTCCCCAACTCATTACTAGATGTTGGGAGGTCACTGCCGTTTACACACACACACACACACACACACACACACACACACACACACACACACACACACACACACACACACACACACACACACGCGCAAACATGAAATAAACAGTCAAGAGAATAGAAAGCAACAAAGTGTATACATTCATATGGACAAATTCACTTGGTTGGTGCAGGTGAAGAACCTTGAGATTTCACTGTATTTGATTGAAGCTGTGCTGTACAAATCAAATGAATTATAATATTGTATAGTGCAGTGACAACAATGGTGGTGTTCTTTCACTTGGTCAAGGTGGAGGTCAATGTGTTTCTAGATATGAAAAAACAATACTTGAGCTTTTACACAACCGCCCTGTCTGAAATGATTTAACAAAAACAAACTTAAAGTAAAAAAAACTAACACATTGTCTAATATCCTGCGTCGTATTCGATATGTACAGTGGGGAAAAAAAGTATTTAGTCAGCCACCAATTGTGCAAGTTCTCCCACTTAAAAAGATGAGAGAGGCCTGTAATTTTCATCATAGGTACACGTCAACTATGACAGACAAATTGAGGAAAAAAAATCCAGAAAATCACATTGTAGGATTTTGTAATTAATTTATTTGCAAATTATGGTGGAAAATAAGTATTTGGTCACCTACAAACAAGCAAGATTTCTGGCTCTCACAGACCTGTAACTTCTTCTTTAAGAGGCTCCTCTGTCCTCCATTCGTTACCTGTATTAATGGCACCTGTTTGAACCTGTCCACAACCTCAAACAGTCACACTCCAAACTCCACTATGGCCAAGACCAAAGAGCTGTCAAAGGACACCAGAAACAAAATTGTAGACCTGCACCAGGCTGGGAAGACTGAATCTGCAATAGGTAAGCAGCTTGGTTTGAAGAAATCAACTGTGGGAGCAATTATTAGGAAATGGAAGACATACAAGACCACTGATAATCTCCCTCGATCTGGGGCTCCACGCAAGATCTCACCCCGTGGGGTCAAAATGATCACAAGAACGGTGAGCAAAAATCCCAGAACCACACGGGGGGACCTAGTGAATGACCTGCAGAGAGCTGGGACCAAAGTAACAAAGCCTACCATCAGTAACACACTACGCCGCCAGGGACTCAAATCCTGCAGTGCAAAACGTGTCCCCCTGCTTAAGCCAGTACATGTCCAGGCCCGTCTGAAGTTAGCTAGAGTGCATTTGGATGATCCAGAAGAGGATTGGGAGAATGTCATATGGTCAGATGAAACCAAAATAGAACTTTTTGGTAAAAACTCAACTCGTCGTGTTTGGAGGACAAAGAATGCTGAGTTGCATCCAAAGAACACCATACGTACTGTGAAGCATGGGGGTGGAAACATCATGCTTTGGGGCTGTTTTTCTGCAAAGGGACCAGGACGACTGATCCGTGTAAAGGAAAGAATGAATAGGGCCATGTATCGTGAGATTTTGAGTGAAAACCTCCTTCCATCAGCAAGGGCATTGAAGATGAAACGTGGCTGGGTCTTTCAGCATGACAATGATCCCAAACACACCACCCGGGCAACGAAGGAGTGGCTTCGTAAGATGCATTTCAAGGTCCTGGAGTGGCCTAGCCAGTCTCCAGATCTCAACCCAATAGAAAATATTTGGAGGGAGTTGAAAGTCCGTGTTGCCAGCGACAGCCCCAAAACATCACTGCTCTAGAGGAGATCTGCATGGAGGAATGGGCCAAAATACCAGCAACAGTGTGCGAAAACCTTGTGAAGACTTACAGAAAACGTTTGACCTGTGTCATTGCCAACAAAGGGTATATAACAAAGTATTGAGAAACTTTTGTTATTGACCAAATACTTATTTTCCACCATAATTTGCAAATAAATTCATTAAAAATCCTACAATGTGATTTTCTGGAAAACAAATTCTCATTTTGTCTGTCATAGTTGACGTGTACCTATGATGAAAATTACAGGCCTCTCTCATCTTTTTAAGTGGGAGAACTTGCACAATTGGTGGCTGACTAAATACTTTTTTTCCCCACTGTAGCTAACTGACCAAACTGTACACTCTTTGGCTGGTAATGTTGTGATATCCACAACCATCACCCCATATTTTTCACAAACTCATATCCTCTACATCTAGTCTAACTTCTATTTTTCAGTCCATATTGCTTTGATAGATGCCATATTTATTAATATCCTCTCTTATCAAAGATAAATGAAATACCACCTTCTTTCTGCCTGACAGGCAGTGTCATCTGATAATGTGAGAATACATGAGCAGGTTTCTGAACAGGAATCTGATAAGGATGTTTGTAGAAAACCTGTTGTGGAAAGTTTCCTATATACCTCTGTTTTATTCGCTAAACAGGTTGTGCCCTCTATACTTAAAGGATTGTTCATGCAAGGATATAACCGTACTATATTGCTAAATATTGTAATCGCAAACCCACAGATACACACACTCCCTCTTTGAAGGGAATGGAAAAAATATATTATTTGAAAAGTACCAATATTTCAACTTACTGACAGTTGAAATGACAGCTTGCCTCTCTCTTGGTTGATGGAGGTTTATAAGTGTGTAGTGTTAAAAGGCCTCAGCCTGATTGCAATATGCTGAGATAATATATCATTCCATTATTCACACAAACATTCCATTGTGAGCATATGAAAACCTTTCGATGGAGTTCAAATAACTGCAACACACCTCAAGTCAGTATTTGACCCTTGGAGTCACCTTGAATCCAGTCCAGCAACCTTAGACCACAGTGTGGACCCTGAACGGTTACAGTCCAACACAGAGTGATGATTGTCCAATCTCCTCCAATAGCAGAGCAGCTTCTTCTTCATGGGAACCGTAGTGCCAAGTCTCTGTGGTAGTGTTCCAAATAAATATAAATTCTTATAAGGCAGTGTTCCATGTCGCACTGGACAAAAGGATCAGGTGGAAAATCCCTTTACTAAGATGGAGATTGTGAAATGGGGGAGAGTGTGGAGAGATGTGTCAGAGAGAAGCACAGTATGTCAGGAATCCTAGTGGCGGAAAAGCAGTACTGCAGCTCCTGATCTCCTCAACAGTTACAGTTAGCACCATTGTCTCCCTCCCGCCTCCCCCCCTATTTCACCTCAGGACTGCTTCCGAAACGTGAAGATGTCTCTGGTCTTAGAGCCTCTCTTGCCCTCGGGGAGTGGGGTGGGGTAGGGTGAGGGGGAGGGCGACGGGGAGGGAGTGGGGTGGGGTAGGGTGAGGGGGAGGGCGACGGGGAGGGAGTGGGGTGGGGTAGGGTGAGGGGGAGGGCGACGGGGAGGGAGTGGGGTGGGGTAGGGTGAGGGGGAGGGCGACGGGGAGGCCGAGGGCTGGGGGATGGCTGTGCCGCCATAGGGGCAGCTCTGGGAGTCAGGGTGCTCCCCGGAACACTCCACGGCCGGGATGTAGCGACTGTCCCACATCCCTGGACCGCACAGCTTACACAGGTCATGGAGGCTGCACGGGATTCTGGGTAACAGACGGAACTGGTAGAGTAGACTACGGGCCTGGTAGTAGGAAGGGTGGGTGAGAGAGAGGAAGAGAAAGAGAGAGAGAACGTAAGAGAGAGTCAAGGAGAGCAGTAGAGAGAAGAAATGGAGAGAAAGAAAGAGAGCATGTGAGAGAGCAAGGGAGTGGAGGAAGGGAGTGGCAGAGTATGAGAGATAGGTTAAACATGAGGAAAACACTTAGAAAGGAGGAAATAGAAGCTATACCTCAAGACTTGCAAAACAGCTAAAAGGATCACACTTAGTATCATGTAGATTTGAATAGCGTTTGACTAAATCAATAGCTCCTTCAGATGTGGAAGAACAATCTAACACAGCCAAAATCAATTAACATGATTTAATTTAAACTAAAAAGGTCTGAGCTGTTCACAGACACAGAGATATCAAATCTAATAGGGGTTCTAAAACAGTCATGACACCTGCATGCTAAAATGTGCTGTTGCTGCAGCAGCAGTACTAACATGGCATCCATAAACATGAGGAGAAGACAGAGACACACTACCGGCCATGACTCATAAATCCTCAACACGGCAGGATCACACCAAGTATTTCAATTCTCCTTGAGGGCTGGGTAGCAAGCAACAAGGACTATTATGCTTTGTTGTATCACAAACTCCATTCCTTTTAAATCCATTCGGCGCAGTCGATGAGTGTACACTGAGGGGATGAGTTAAGAAGTAAACAACAATCATAGTATGCTAACTAGAGGGTAAAATGCTAGTGTTGCATAAAATGCTAGCATGCTTGAGGTAAAGTGGCATGGAGTAGCGCATCATCATGCTAAAGGCTAACTGCTAGCGTTACCTTGCGCAGCACCAGCTCCCCGTTCATGTGCATGGAGAGGTTGCTGAAGTGGAGCAACATCTGGTCGGTGGCTAACTGCTGCTCCGTTACGTCATCACCGTACAGCACGATGATGGCCACACACACGAACAGATGGAAGTAGTCCGTCTGAGGGAGCGATAGTGTTAATGATGAAGTACATTTACACTTAACTGTGGAGAGCCTGCCTACAGTACAGTGGTTGTGTGTGGTTGTGTGTGGTTGTGTCTACATCCAACTCTAATCTCCATAACTAGTGGGTTGTATGAATGATGGTTATACCTATACCGGCTATAAACTCCTAACATTGTTACACACAGTTGTTAATACATATTATTACACACATTGTTTGATATTGGTGTATGTATGCCAATGTTGTGTTTGATATCACTCTGTGTACACCAATGCCATGTACAACATGATGATGTTGCTGTGCGTATGCTGATGTAAAGTTGTGTACCTGGTAGTGTGCCCAGCAGGCCTCCCACATGCGCAGGGCCTCTGTGTCGGGGAACTCCCGTTTGAAACAGAGTAGGATCCAGCGGTGACAGAACAGCAGCTGTAGCCCGTCCTCCCCCAGCTGGGTCAGGTGCTGGTGGAACCGGGGCAGCATCAGACGCAACAGCTCCCTCAGGTACATCTGGAACAGGGGAGAGAGATGGTTAGGGCGCTAATGTGGATATGAATGTAACACCACACACACACACAAACAATCAAACACAAAAGAGAATCACAGAGAGAGAGAATCACAGAGAGAGAGAGAGAGCGAGAGCGAGAGCGAGAGCGAGTGTGAGAGAGATATAGAGAGAGAGAGAGAGAAGAGCGAGAGAAAGAGAGTGAGGAGAAAAGAGAAGAGAGAGAGGAAAAAGCAGAGGAGAAAGAGAGAGAAAGAGAGAAAGTAGAGAGAGAGAGAGTAGAGGAGAGAGAGTAGAGAGAGGAGACAAGTGTGTGTGTGTGATTTAGATGTGCGATGATAGAGAGAGAGCAGCAGAAGAGCTCTCGGCGAGATAGCGACTCTCTCTCTGCGCTCCCCTCTTCCTCTCTCCCCTCCTCTCTTATCTATAAAAATTCTCTCTCACTCTCTCCCCTCTCTCTCCTCTCTTCTCTTCTCCTCTCTCTCTCTCCTCTCTCCTCTCTCTTCTCTCTCCAAACTCGATGTTTGTTTATAAAGTGAGAGATTACCAGTTGTCTCTCCATGTCCTCGTCGCGGGAGAGCTGATAAAAATGGTGTTCTCCATCAGGCCTACGAAGCACCAGAACGTGTCGCTCTCGTCCTGCACCTCGGTCAGCAGGGGAGCCACCAGGTCAGACATGCCCTGGCAGTAGCCCATCTCTGGGTTGAACACTGCGTAGTTCAGCAGCACACACCTGGAGGAAGGGAGGAACACCACCACAGACAATATCAAGATATCAAGTCATACATATTACCTCATACTAAGTCCTACATACAAAGTCTTACTAACCCATCACACTAAAACAATCAATTAGATCAAATCAAATTGTATTTTTCACATACTTCGTAAACAACAGGTGTAGACCAACAGTGAAATGCTTACTTTTAACCCCAACAATGCAGAGAGAAAAATAGAGAAATAATAACTAAAGGAATAAATATACAATGAGTAACGATAACTTGGCTATATACATGGTGTACCAGTACCAAGTCAATGTGCAGGGCTAAGAGGTAATTGAGGTAGATATGTACATATAACTAGGAATAATGTGACTAGGAAACAGGAGAGATAATAAACAAGTAGCAGCAGCGTATGTGATGAGGCAAAATAATTAGTGCATAAAGGGTCAATGCAGATAGTTAAATAGTTAACCAATAGCCACCCGAACTAAATATTTAGCAGTCTTATGGCTTGGGGGTAGAAGCTGTTCAGGGTCATGTTGTTTCCAGACTTGGTGCATCGGTACCGCTTGCCGTGCGGTAGCAGTGAGAACAGTCTATAACTTGGGTGGCTGGAGTCTGACAATTTTTAGGGCCTTCCTTGGACACCACCTGGTATAGAGGTCCTGGATGGCAGGAAGCTCGGCCCCAGTGATGTACTGGGCCGTACACACTACCCTCTGTAGCGCCTTGCGGTCGGATGCCAAGCAGTTGCCATACCAAGCGGTGACGCAGCCAGTCAGGATGCTCTCAATGGTGCAGCTGTAGAACTTTATAATGATCTGAGGGTCCAAGCCAAATCTTTTCAGCCTCTTGAGGGGGAAGAGGCGTTACCGTGCTTTCACGACTGTGTTGGAGTGTGTTGACCATGATCATTCCTTAGTGATGTGGACACCAAGGAACTTAAACTAATTAACACTATGGCATTAGAACTTAGAGTAAGCGAATGAATAAAACAAATATGAAAAGTGGTGAGATAAAATTAGGCCATAATAATACATGAGAGTTCTAACCTCCCCCACCCCTACTCTACTTGACCCAGTTACTTTGACCAAAACTGAGATCCAGCCATGAGAGTCACTTAACAAACAGCCTGGTTTCGAAACCTTTAGAGCCTCATTTAGGAAGCTATTAGCTGTAAGTATGCATCAGAAGTAGTGTACTAAGAGCTTAGTGGGAGTCAATAAAGCATGAAAGTCATTAGCTAGCTTCCCCCAGGGTTCAGAATATGATATTCATGTACAATATTACCTCCTGTGCACTGGACTATGGGATAGGAAAGATGATGAGGAATTGAAAAGGTGAGGAATAAATGGAGGAGAGGAGAATGAGAAAGAGAGGGAAGAGTGAAATATAGAATAAAGAGTGACAGAGATAGAGATGAGAGGAAAGAGAGAAAGAGGAGTGGCAGGGGATAGAAGGTGTAAGATTGAAAGAGCAGAGAGAAGAGAGAGTAAGAGAACAGGGAACGAAAGAGGGAGAGACCCAGACAGAGAGCCAGCTGTCCTCACCTCATGATCTCCACATTGGGGTTGTTCTCTCCCCTGAAGAAGTGGTTGCTGCGGTCTGTTCTCACCACGTCCTTATCCACGGTGAACTGAACCTTCCTCCAGAAGTCACTGTGCTCCTCAGGACTCATAGACAACCTGGGGATGGCCGGGGCAGACACAGGTAGGAAGCGGTTTTAAACTGGGTTAAATACTGGGGCTATGCACTAATGTCAACCAAACTTGAGGGCAGTTCCGCAACTTCAAAAACTTACTTTTAATTGAACCCTTGATAGGATGACGGGAAAAGGGTAGGGTGAGGTTGTTGAAACCACTTAAACAACCTATGATCTAACCCTAACCCCCTCCCATCACCCTCTGGCTGAGAACCTGAACAGTGAGGACCTGACCCCTACCCTAACGAGCAGAGCAGGGGGGATTTAATTAACACTATGTGTTTTCCATTGAGCCCCGCCAGGAACAATAACACCAGGCGTGATGCAACTTCACGCAACTGTTTACTTTCTGGGGCTGTGTTTGTGTCTGCCTGTCCCTCGGCGTCTCCTCCCTCTCACTCCTTCTCTCTCCCAGTCCCTCGTTCCCTCTCTACCTCCATGCCTCACTCTCTCTCTCTTCTTCCTTTCTGGAGAACAGTCATCAGCTGTACCTGGATCTGCTACCAGAATCCCCTAGTCATGTACAGTGGGGGAAAAAAGTATTTAGTCAGCCACCAATTGTGCAAGTTCTCCCACTTAAAAAGATGAGAGAGGCCTGTAATCTTCATCATAGGTACACGTCAACTATGACAGACAAAATGAGAAGAAAGAAAATCCAGAAAATCACATTGTAGGATTTTTATGAATTTATTTGCAAATTATGGTGGAAAATAAGTATTTGGTCACCTACAAACAAGCAAGATTTCTGGCTCTCACAGACCTGTAACTTCTTCTTTAAGAGGCTCCTCTGTCCTCCACTCGTTACCTGTATTAATGGCACCTGTTTGAACTTGTTATCAGTATAAAAGACACCTGTCCACAACCTCAAACAGTCACACTCCAAACTCCACTATGGCCAAGACCAAAGAGCTGTCAAAGGACACCAGAAACAAAATTGTAGACCTGCACCAGGCTGGGAAGACTGAATCTGCAATAGGTAAGCAGCTTGGTTTGAAGAAATCAACTGTGGGAGCAATTATTAGGAAATGGAAGACATACAAGACCACTGATAATCTCCCTCGATCTGGGGCTCCACGCAAGATCTCACCCCGTGGGGTCAAAATGATCACAAGAACGGTGAGCAAAAATCCCAGAACCACATGGGGGGACCTAGTGAATGACCTGCAGAGAGCTGGGACCAAAGTAACAAAGCCTACCATCAGTAACACACTACGCCGCCAGGGACTCAAATCCTGCAGTGCCAGACGTGTCCCCCTGCTTAAGCCAGTACATGTAGTTTGCTAGAGTGCATTTGGATGATCCAGAAGAGGATTGGGAGAATGTCATATGGTCAGATGAAACTTTTTGGTAAAAACTCAACTTGTCGTGTTTGGAGGACAAAGAATGCTGAGTTGCATCCAAAGAACACCATACCTACTGTGAAGCATGGGGGTGGAAACATCATGCTTTGGGGCTGTTTTTCTGCAAAGGGACCAGGACGACTGATCCGTGTAAAGGAAAGAATGAATGGGGCCATGTATCGTGAGATTTTGAGTGAAAACCTCCTTCCATCAGCAAGGGCATTGAAGATGAAACGTGGCTGGGTCTTTCAGCATGACAATGATCCCAAACACACCGCCCGGGCAACGAAGGAGTGGCTTCGTAAGATGCATTTCAAGGTCCTGGAGTGGCCTAGCCAGTCTCCAGATCTCAACCCCATAGAAAATCTTTGGAGGGAGTTGAAAGTCCGTGTTGCCCAGCGACAGCCCCAAAACATCACTGCTCTAGAGGAGATCTGCATGGAGGAATGGGCCAAAATACCAGCAACAGTGTGTGAAAACCTTGTGAAGACTTACAGAAAACATTTGACCTGTGTCATTGCCAACAAAGGGTATATAAAAAAGTATTGAGAAACTTTTGTTATTGACCAAATACTTATTTTCCACCATAATTTGCAAATAAATTCATAAAAAATCCTACAATGTGATTTTCTGGAATTTTTTTCCTCATTTTGTCTGTCATAGTTGACGTGTACCTATGATGAAAATTACAGGCCTCTCTCATCTTTTTAAGTGGGAGAACTTGCACAATTGGTGGCTGACTAAATACTTTTTTCCCCCACTGTAACTCAACATTAACATTAGCATGTAAGACCACAAAGACATCAGACCTTCTAGAAAATAGACGAGTAAACTGAATCAACTCTCCACAACCCTCTTCTCCTCCAGTGTTTGTTCAGAACAGGTATATTTGGACATTCCTCTCCTCTCAAGCAGGATCCTCCATTTTTTTACATCTTCAACAGTACTGGCTACAGCACATAACTGAACATCAAACAAGCAATAATTGATTCTTCAAAATGTAACTTATGACCATCTAAAACAAAATATAAATAATCTAATGTTACATTTCCATATATAACTAATTGATTTAATTAACAGGGGCTGGTCTTTAGTCAGGATCACAAAGAGATGATTCTAAGGATGTCATACATGTTCATGATAAGTCTTATTTAAGCAATAAGGCCCGATGAGGTGTGGTATATGGTCAATATACCACGGCTAAGGGCTGTTCTTATGCACGACGAAACGCGTAGTGACTGGACCCAGCCCTTAGCCGTGGTATATTGGCCATATATCACAACCCCCCGAGGTGCCTTATTGCTATTATAAACTGGTTACCAACATAATTAGAGCAGTAAAAATAAATGTTTTGTCATACCCATGGTATACGGTCTGATATACCACGGCTGTCAGACAATCAGCATTCTGGGCTCGACCCACCCAGTTTATAAAAGTTATTATACCTGCATCATAATGCATTATATCTGCAGGCTTTAAGGACAGTGTTACCAGTGCCACCACCTCTATAAGGCAGAGACTGTAGTTCCAGGGTCTTAATGAGCCAGTGGCCCCTGGAGGCTCAGTCAAGTGTTTTTCTAACAGCCACATCACATCACAGGAGGAATAGAGCTTCTAATTGACTGGTTTGGATTAGGTCTTCTGATGTATTCAAAAGGTTAATATACCATACCGCTGAAGACTGGCCAATTATCATATTAATTCTGTGCACTCGTGCACACATGCACACTGTGTGGAGGCTTAGGTTGCCTAGTGGGTAAGAGCGTACAGCCAAGTATCCGAAAGGTCGCTGGTTCGAATATCCAAGCCGACTAGGTGAAAAATGTGCCAATGTGCCCTTGAGCAAGGCACTTAGCCCTAATTGCTCCTGTAAGGTGCTCTAGGTAAGACATCTGTTAAATGACAAAAATAAAAAATTTAAACGTATTGAAAAAAGAAAGAGGATTAGGGACAGACACAGACAGGTAACGCTGGGAGGTTAATGTAAACTCTGACTAGTTGCATCCTTTACTCTCTTTTAGTGTGTGGTATGTGGTGTGTGGTGTGTGGTGTGTGATGTGTGGTGTGTGGTGTGTGGTGTGTGGTGTGTGTGTGTGGTGTGGATGTGTGGTGTGTGGTATGTGGTGCATGGTGTGTGGTGCATGGTGTGTGATGTGTGGTGTGTTGGTGTGTGGTGTGTGATGTGTGGTGCGTACGTGCCTATCGAGCTGTAGTCATCCTATTGATAGGTAGAATATGAGAATATGATTTGATCAGCGTTTACATGTTGTTTCCCAAGAGGCCTGTTCATTTACACCCAGCACTCCCATAACACGTTCTGTAAGTGTGTCTATTGTTTGCTCCATTTGCAAAGTGTGTGTGTGTGTGTGTTAATAGTTAGCAGGATATGGCTTGGTGCCACCTTATTCCTTTGGATAAATAAACCACATATGTTCCAGTGTTATGAATGTCCTTCTTACATGGAATAGAAATACAATACACAACTTTATTATGGTTAGAACTGACTTTTTCTTCTGCCCCCCCCCCCCCCCCCCCCCCCCCCAGCCCGCCCGCCTGCCCACACACACACACACACACACACACACACACACACACACACACACACACACACACAGACACAGTCAGTAGCAGTGCAGCTCCCCTGGATGGAGAGACATTAGTTATAGTAAACCCAGAAACATACTGTTTGCACCCCACAGCCACCTACCTCCTCTGCTGGATGTCGTGGTACTCTGAGCGTTTCTGCAGTCTCCAGGCCTCTCTCTCCTGGGAGGAGGAGTCACAGCTGTAGTAGTGCAGTAAGAAGGGCCACACCTCCCCGCGGATGGATGGGTCGACGCCCCCAAAGAAGATGGCCTGAGGGGGGGAAAGAGAGGTCATGATCAGCCTGGGTAGTAGAAGTCTAGAATTTAACAATGTTAGCTACAGTAACTACACCAGGGTTCCCCAACTGGTGGCCCAGGGACGAATTTGGCCTGCTGGTGGTTAAATTTTTTTCTCATTTTCATTGTTGGACATAACACTGTAAAAATACCAGGAAATCAGCTCCAAGTAATTTTAATTTAAGATATCTTAAAACACACACACACATAACTGGTGATTTGAACAATGACCGTTCCACTTTCCCTTTTGTTTGGGGTCCCCGGACCCAGGGTTGGTTTTAACGTTCCCACCCCGGTACGGACTTCCCCCTTGGTCCGGGGGAGGGTGGGCCCCGGTGGGAACGGCTACAGTTTTTTCCCCCTTTTCCAAAAGGGAGGAGGGGGGGAAGGAAAACGATAAGGGGTTTTCCCCCGGAAAAGAGGGGAGGTTGAGGGGAAAAATGGGGGGGGGGCGGAGAAAAAAGGAGAGGGGGAATGGGTGGGGGCAAGAGAAAAAGGGAGAGAGATGGGTGGGGGGGAGAGAGAGTGAGAGAGAGGGGTGGGGGGGAGAAGGGGGAGAGAGGGGGGGGCCCCGAGGGAGGGGGGGGGAAGGGGGGGGGAGAGAAAGGGGAGAGGGAGTAGATGGGGGGGGGGGGAGAGAGGGGGAGTAGAGAGATGGGTGGGGGGGCAGAGAGGGGGAAAGGAAAAGGGGGCCCCGGAGAGAGGGGGGGGGGGGGGGAAAAGGGAGTGAGAAAGATGGGTGGGATGCAGAGAGAGATGGACGAGAGAGAGGAGAGAGAGCGAGAGAGATGGGTGGGGGGAAGAGAGAGAAAGAGAGAGCGAGATAGATGGGTGGGGGGCGGAGAGAGAGTGAGAGAGATGGGTGGGGGGCAGAGAGAGAAAGAGATATATCAAGGAACTAGCCATTATGCTAACACTGAAATAACATATCTAGCCACAATAATAACGCCGAAGTAAAAAAAGATGGTATAACATTTACATTTACATTTTAGTCATTTAGCAGACGCTCTTATCCAGAGCGACTTACAGTTAGTGAATACATATTTTTATTATACTGGCCCCCCGTGGGAATCGAACCCACAACCCTGGCGTTGCAAACGCCATGCTCTACCAACTGAGCTACCTCCCTGCCGGCCATTCCCTCCCCTACCCTGGACGACGCTGGGCCAATTGTGCGCCGCCCCATGAGTCTCCCGGTCTAGCCACAATGCTACCATGTCTCACCTGGTCTTTGAGCTGGGTCTCTCTACAGCACTTCCACTGTTGGAAGACCTCAGCCAGCTTGTCCAGACCTGTGTGGTGGAAGTGGAGGACCTTATACTGGCTCTCCCTGCTGGCGATCACCAGCTGACCACTGTTACACGCCTCATCACTGGAATCAAAACATACCGTATGTCAAACATACAGAAACACTGGCTGAAAGAAATACACATACATTGTTCCTGCACTGCTCAAACATGGCTTATAACATATACAGCAAACTCTGTTGGAGAAGAATTTCAGGGGAATTTCCTGGATTGTCAAATACAGTACTTTTTTACATACATATAGGCCTACTTTTTGAAGTGACTTCTTCATTTTTGTAATCGTTTGAGTTGGACTCAATGATAATCTTCCCCTTTACCCTCACAGGCCAAACAACACAACTGTACACAGGTGAGTTGTTATGAAAGTAAAAGTCAGTTCCTGAAGTCATAAAGTATCCAGACAACATGACCCCCCGTGACCCCGTGACCCCTGGCTGACCTGAAGAAGAGGCGGAGCGACCTCATATGCCCCAGGTCGACCCGGAACACTCCCCCCAGCTGCTCCAACGCCAGCACCTTCTGCTGCTCCTCCCACCGCATGCCCTGCGATTGGCTGTTGTTCTCAGAGGGGGCGTGGCTGTCCAGGCTGGAGGCGGAGCTAGCCGAATGGGTCATGGACTCGTCGCACAGCTCCCTGAGAAAAGGAGGGGGGAGAAGTTGAGTTGGTTGTAGGATCAGATTAATTTACACCCACCCGATGGTAACCGTAACTATTAGTGGTAAATGCAAAACAGACCTTAGAACAGCGTCTAAGGGAAATGTTGGACAATCATTGCATTGCACACAAATGTCGTTCTAACAATACATAAGCCTAGATATCGCAAACAGGGTCCAGAGGGCTATGTACTGTCTGTGACTAGTGTTGAATATCAGGAGTCTATTTGCTGCCCTGTTGTGGTCCCTTGTTTTATGTCCTGGGATTGTGCTGGCTTAGACCAGGGGACAGAGAATTAGAAGAATGCATGGAGGTTACTGTGCAGGGGGGAACCACGCATGCCACACACACACACAGTGCATACAACAGAAACTGTGCACACACACACACAAATCACAGCATCTGCCTTCCAATTTCCCCCGTCCTTCCCCCATGGCCACTGTGTTTTTCCCGGCACCGTAACCCGAGCTGGGAGTTCCTCTACTGCGTTAACACGCACACACACACACACATAAAACAACTGGGTAAGGGGGGTAAATCAAACACAACTAACAACCAAAACGTACTCCAAGACACGTCTCGGAGTCTGAGAGCCAGACCTGAGAAGCACAGTGACGTATTAATTGCAAATGTGGCCAACTTTAAAAACAGGTCTAAGAAACACAAGTCAGTCATATGGAAAAACATTTACATTGAAATGCTCTTTCCTTGTATGCTGATGGAACAGTATTTCTCTAAGTCCATAATAAACACAAACAGCCTATTGGTCCGAGGAGAGGAGCTAGAGCTGGTCAGTTTCAAACTAAATCAATGGCTGTGAATTGATCATGTCTCGGGTCGTCACATACCTGTATATGGGAAAGTAATATGTGAGATTGATAGAGACAGCAAGGTTTCCCCTCATTGGTCAGATTTACTGCCCTCTGGATCATGTATCACATCATAAACCAGGTCCCAGTTCTGAGTTCTGGGACACTACAGCACAGAGAAGTGGGGGATTCTGTCTGGCTCAATCTAAACCTAGTCATAGCAGACCTGGTTCAAATACTATTTGAAATCTTTCAAATAATTTGAGTGTTTACTTTAGCCTGTCTGGGGTGCCAAATGAGCGGGCTTTGCACGTTTGGGACTTGTCTATTGGTTCCATTGCAACAGGAAAGCTCAATCAAGCCCAGCAAAAGCATTATAAATTATTTCTTTAAGTATTTGAACCCAGGTCTGAGTACTAGGCCTGTTGTATTACATTGAGGTGCTGAGAGAACATACAGAAACCAAACGTCTCACACTTAATGGTCTGCTGTAATAACACCTGACAACATTTGATTGATTAAAACAAATATTTAAACTGCGCTACATGCTAACTCTACCGTAACTCTCATAGGGATATTGCTAAGCTAACAGTCTCTATGGTCTTTCCAGTTAACTAAGCAGCATTAACAGAAGGTGTTGAACATGGACCTGTTTTAAATGTCGTCTACTTAATCAATGAAGCGAAGCTAGCTTACGCTAACATAACAGTGGGTGCTTACGGAGAGGTTTTAAATGTCATCTACCTCATCAGTGGATCTCAATTAGCTAATGCTAAATGTTCACACTAATAGCTGATGCTGTTCTCTATAGCGACTACACTATAGCCTATGTATAACAGTGTGTTATACACAGACTATACACTGAGTGTACAAAACATTAGGAATACCTGCTCTTTCCATGACATAGACTGAATCCAGGTGAAAGCTATGATCCCTTATTGATGTCACTTGTTAAATCCACTTCAATCAGTGTAGATGAAGGGGAGGAGACAGGTTAAAATGATTTTTAAGCCTTGAGACAACTGATACATGGATTGTGTATGTGTGCCATTCAGAGGGTGAATGGGCAAGACAAAATATTTAAGTGCCTTTGAACAGGGTATGGTAGTAGGTGCCAGGCGCACCGGTTTGTGTCAAGAACTGCAACAGTGCTGGGTTTTTCACACTCAACAGTTTCCGGTGTGTATCAAGAATGGTCCACCACCCAAAGGAAATCCAGCCAACTTGACACAACTGTGGGAAGCATTGGCGTCAACATGGGCCAGCATCCCTGTGGAACGCTTTCGACACCTTGTAGAGTCCATGCCCTGACAAATTGAGGCTGTTCTGAGGGCAAAAGTGTGGGTGCAACTCAATATTAGGAAGGTGTTCTTAATGTTTTGTACACTCAGTACATGTCAACAGCATGTTTTGATGGAAAAGCTGTTTTAATGGTATGTCCCTCGTCAGGGGAGCTACAGCTACAAGCTGGGGTGAGACCAGACTGCCCACAGCACTCTGCTCCCCACCTACGTGATGCTGTACCCTGGGGACAGAGCTCTGGCGTCACCCTGAGAACCAGAGCCTGGGGCTAAACACCCACAGAGACCCACGGTCTCTAAACTCAATGAATAATGTGGCTGTTGATCAAGTAGAAGAGACTAAACTTCTTGGTGTTCTATTAGATTGTAAAATGTCCTGGTCAAAGCATATTTATTCTATTGTTGTAAAGATGGGGAGAGGTCTGTCTGTGATAAAGAGATGCTCTGCTTTTTTAACATCACATGCAACCAAACTAGTCCTGCAGGCTCTGGTTTTGTCGCATCTTGACTATTGCCCAGTTGTATGGTCCGGTGCGACAAAACAAATACCTAGAAAAGCTGCAGCTGGCCCAGAACAGAGCAGCACGTCTGGCCCTCAAATGTACACGGATGGCCAATGTCAATAACATGCATATCAGTCTCTCCTGGCTCAGTGAAGAGGAGAGATTGACTGCATCACTGTCGATCGTTGTAAGAAATATTGATGTATTGATAGCACCGAATTGTCTGTTCAGCCAGTTAACACAGCTCAAAAACCCAGTCCCCAAGTCAGAACAGAGGCTGGGAAAATGACTACATGGAATTTTCTTCTACCCTCAGGTAACTCAGGCAAGAAAAAAAAATATTTAAAAAGAAAACTGATAAAACACCTCAAGGAACAACGCAGACTGTGGAGACGCATACAAACACCATTTTCTTTAGTCGTTTAAAATGTAGTTTTACATTTGTGTTGCTGTTCTTATCTATTAGTGCATTTTGTAATGTTCTATGTTTTGTGTACACCTCAGGAAGAATAGCTGCTGCTTTTTCAACAGCTAATGGGGATCTGAATAAAATCCATTGAACAAAAATAGAAAACGCAACATGCAACAATTTCAAAGATTTTAGTGAGTTACAGTTTATATCAGGAAATCAGTCAATTGAAATAAATTAATTAGGCCCTAATCTATGGATTTCACATGACTGGGAATACAGATATGCATCTGTTGGTGATAGATACCTTAAAAAAAAAAAGGTAGGAGCGTGGAACAGAAAACCAGTCAGTATCTGGGGTGACCGCCATTTGCTTCATGCAGCGAGACACATCTCCTTCGCATAGAGTTGATCAAGCTGTTGATTGTGGTCTGTGGAATGTTGTCCCACTACTGTGAGAAGTTGCTGGATATTGGCGGGAACTGGAACATGCTGTGGTACGCATAGATCCAGAGCATCCCAAACATGCTCATGTCTCCCGAGTGGCGTAGTGGTCTAAGGCACTGCATCGCAGTGCTAGCTGTGCCACTAGAGATCCTGGTTCGTATCCAGGCTCTGTCGTAGCCGGCCGCGACCGGGAGACCCATGGGGCGGCGCACAATTGTCCCAGCGTCGTCCAGGGTAGGGGAGGGAATGGCCGGCAGGGGATGTAGCTCAGTTGGTAGAGCATGGCGTTTGCAACGCCAGGGTTGTGGGTTCGATAAAATAATGTATGTGCTAACTGTAAGTCGCTCTGGATAAGAGCGTCTGCTAAATGACTAAAATGTAAATGTAATGCTCAGTGGGTGACATGTCTGAGTATGCAGGCCATGGAAGACATTCTCAGCTTCCAGGAATTGGGTACAGAACCTTGTGATATGGGGCCGTGCATTATCATGCTGAAACATGAGGTGATGGCGGCGGATGAATGGCAAGACAATGGGCCTCAGGACCTCGTCATGGTATCACTGTGCATTTAAATTGCCATTGATAAATTGCAATTGTGTTTGTTGTCCGTAGCTTATGACTGCCCATACCATAACCCCACCGCCACCATGGGGCACTCAGTTCACAACGTTGACATCAGCAAACTGCTCGCCCAGTGGCCATCGAAGGTGAGCATTAGCCCACTGATGTTGGTGACGACGCCGAACTGCAGTCAGGTCAAGCCCCTGGTGAGGACGACGAGCACGCAGATGAGCTTCCCTGAGAAGGTTTCTGACAGTTTGTGTAGAAATTACACTGCTCAAAAAAATAAAGGGAACACTTAAACAACACAATGTAACTCCAAGTCAATCACACTTCTGTGAAATCAAACTGTCCACTTAGGAAGCAACACTGATTGACAATACATTTCACATGCTGTTGTGCAAATGGAATAGACAACAGGTGGAAATTATAGGCAATTAGCAAGACACCCCCAATAAAGAAGTAGTTCTGCAGGTGGTGACCACAGACCACTTCTCAGTTCCTATGCTTCCTGGCTGATGTTATGGTCACTTTTGAATGCTGGCGGTGCTTTCACTCTAGTGGTAGCATGAGACGGAGTCTACAACCCACACAAGTGGCTCAGGTAGTGCAGCTCATCCAGGATGGCACATCAATGCGAGCTGTGGCAAGAAGGTTTGCTGTGTCTGTCAGCGTAGTGTCCAGAGCATGGAGGCGCTACCAGGAGACAGGCCAGTACATCAGGAGACGTGGAGGAGGCCGTAGGAGGGCAACAACCCAGCAGCAGGACCGCTACCTCCGCCTTTGTGCAAGGAGGAGCAGGAGGAGCACTGCCAGAGCCCTGCAAAATGACCTCCAGCAGGCCACAAATGTGCATGTGTCTGCTCAAACGGTCAGAAACAGACTCCATGAGGGTGGTATGAGGGCCCGACGTCCACAGGTGGGGGTTGT